TTTTGAAAGATTTGCCTCGGAAAACTTCAAAAATCTTGAGAGTTAGAGTCCAATCCGGCTTGTAACCCATTGGAAAAAGTTATTTTTTTCTCTAGTAAATTGACTGATATCATTGGCACTGGAAGGTCTTGTATACTATTGTTCTGTGTACTCTAAACTATTCTTACGAAGCTTTAGAAACGCCCCCTTCATGTGATTGTGCCAGTGAGGTTCAGTTTTTTAACGTTAATATAAAACTTTTATTCTTGCGCCATTACTACCTTTCACTTTTTATCTATGGTTTTTAAAAGGTTGTAATATTAATATCACAAGAAATTCCAAATATTATAGAGCTTGATGAACCGGAAAAAAGTTTTTATTTCCTTCAATTTTTTCTGGATCATTTGTAAAGATTCCCGAAAATCTAATTCTATGTTCAGTTATACCAACCTTTTTAATTTTTTTTGTCTCTTTGTATGTATGAGGAAATCCAAAACAAATAAACAATCTGCAGGTCAAAAACGTTTCGTTTGTGGTTCACTTGGACCAACCAACAAAACTCTCTCAATATCACCATCGGTCGAGAAACCGGAGTACAGGAATATAAGTTAGTCCACTATTTCTGTAGTTTGATGTACATCTTGAGATCCAACGGCATTATTTTCTTATTTTTATCAGGTAGACTTTGAGTGACATAGCAAACACAGCTCCATTTTTGCAGTTAAAGAGCAGTCCTGATGCTACTCAAAATGTACTCGCGGTAGATTTCAACTTTGATGTGTTTTCACATAATTTAATGAGCGAATGCTAAGTCGACTTGAAAATTAAAAGGCTTTTTTTGCCAGAACTCAAAACAAGAATTCCAAGACCACTTGGTTAGTCGATGTGGGAACCCCATATTATTGATGTTACTAGAATGTTCACACTCCGAGTGCAGTCAGTACTAGACTCTTAATTGCACTGTCACATAATTGCTTTTTAGTCCTGAGCTGCATATCTTCAGTTAGCACTTCTCCGGGATCTCTGGTTTAAACACCCCACGAATAATACATATTTTGTTTGAACATTCGATCTCATGAAAAGTATTTTTCGATTAGTAAAAAATTCCTTCGCAAAAATTTTTTGTTCCTTGGTAAAAGCAGTTTTTTTTTTTCAAAATAATCTAAAAGCTAAAACAATATGCTTCCTAGCAATTTGTCGAAAAGTTGCTCTTATCGTCGATGGTTTTTATTTCTTTCCGATAAGGGCTAAAAAAGTAACTTGAAGGCAATACAAACTGTACCATGGTAGAGGCTACGTCAGCTTCACTTTCGTTTACAGAATAGGTCAGCTTATTTGGGATTGGCGCTGGATCAGAAAAATGTTTGGTACTTGAAACTTAAACTGGATTGGAGAGATAAACACAAAAAGTGCAAAGGATCCTTTTTTCCAGCGTTTCCTGAGCTTGTCAATGCATACAGTGAACAGGCTCGTGCTTTACTGGAAGGTGGGGTGGATGTGCTTCTTGTCGAGACCGTATTCGATACAGCAAATGCTAAAGCTGCTCTTTTCGCTATCAGAACACTGTTTGAGGAAGAAGGCATTCCTGAGGTATGGGTTCTTTTTTCGAGGTTTTAGGTGATTTCCTTAATATCTTGTCGAAAATTTATCGTTTTTTTTTTCAGGATATTTTGAGGCAAAACACAAAATATGCTGTTTAGCTCTTCCAGAAACCATATTTTTGAGAATTTAGAAAAAATGGGCTTTAAAATTCTCTCATAAAGATGCTAACTAGTATGACATCAATTCTTCTACGATTCTTTCATTAGTTTCGATGGTAAATTGGTACTGCGCAAACCAGGAACTCAAACCTGCTACCAGTTTGTTCGTAAGCAATGTTCGAAAGAGCCTTGCCAAGCGTGTGGTTGCTGTTGGCATTTGCTACCACTCAAGCTGCTTTTTAATGCAGACGAAGCAAATACGGAAAAGATGCTAACTTTCTTTTATTCCCCTCCGCCCTTCCCTTTCCCCCCCCCTCCCCCCCCTTTGCCCCGCAAGAGTTTATTTGCATTTCTATACCCACTAAATCTGAAAATGATGCATGGCAAAAACCGAGGGGGAGGGGGTGGTTGAAAAAATTACTTTATTCATCACATTAAAAAAAAACTTTTTCGACCACTCTAATTTTTTAAACGAGTTCTTTTAGATTTGTTAATGAAAGTATAAGTTTTTAAATAGATTATACGAAGGGTTTGACAAATACTGTTCAGGTTCCAGTTTTTCTCTCCGGCACAATTGTTGATCTCTCGGGACGCACACTTTCCGGACAAACAAGTGAGGCATTCCTGATCAGCACGCAGCACGGTCAGCTGTTCGCGGTGGGCCTGAATTGTGCTTTGGGTGCTCCCGAAATGCGACCATTCATCCAAACAATTGGCGCTGCCACCACTGCTTGGGTCATCTGTTATCCGAATGCAGGTTGAAAAAAATTTTTATTTTGGAACATGAACTTTCAGTTTATATTACTGGATAAGGGCTAATGTACACCAGTTGGCACGCCAAGTTTTGTTGGCAGATGCTGGTTGCTGGTGGCTGTGCTACGAGCTGCTGCCCTGTGCCCCAATCCTAGGTGAAATGCGAATATGGAAAAAATTTTGGCTTTTTTGACTCACTCGCAAGTAGGGAGCAATTTAAATTTTTAATGCAGGTTTGCCGAACGCACTTGGTTCGTACGATGAAACACCGGAAAATATGGCCGCAGATATGGCATCGTTCGCCAAACAAGGCCTGGTGCGTTTTCTTTTGTTCCGGTATCTCTCTTGTAAAAATAAATCTCCTACACTTATGCTCCTGGGACTAAAGGCAATTTTTGATCCATAGGTTCAACTACATTGAGGCGGAACTCAAATTAGAAGCATAATGGGTTTCAAAAACAGTTTTTTTTTTTGGATTTTTCTTATCTTTTTACAAATATTCATTTAATCAAAAAGTGACAACATCTGAGCCCCACAAAAATATGAAAATTAAATTAGCATCTGCAAAATTTT